ATCTGTTCCGAAGGCTTCTCTAAAACTAATTTTACAAACGACCTGTTCCGAAGGTACCCTAAAACTAATTTTACAAACGACCTGTTCCGAAGGTACCCTAAAACTAATTTTACAAAACGACCTGTTCCGAAGGTTTCTTTAAAAACTAATTTTACAAAACGATCTGTTCCGAAGGTTTCTTTAAAAACTAATTTTACAAAACGATCTGTTCCGAAGGTTTCTCTAAAAACTAATTTTACAAAACGACCTGTTCCAAAGGTTTCTCTAAAGACTAATTTTACAAAACGACCTGTTCCGAAGGTTTCTCTAAAAACTAATTTTACAAAACGATCTGTTCCGAAGGTTTCTCTAAAAACTAATTTTACAAAACGACCTGTTCCGAAGGTACCCTAAAACTAATTTTACAAAACGACCTGTTCCGAAGGTACCCTAAAAACTAATTTTACAAAACGACCTGTCTAAAGCAGAGTTAAGGGAATTGTGTTATGTAGTTGCTTAAATTCATTAGTTTGAAAACATTTTATTGCCCCAAAGTGTAAAATGAATATCACTTCATTAAAATTATTTCAGATTGTTCGATTTCTTACCTAATTTAACGGTTTAGCAATTTTTCGACAAGTTTTAAAACTCATTTTGTAGTGTTTCTGTAAGGCTTTTTTTTTATCTTAAAATCGGGCCATAAAAAATGTACAATTAATCAATGACTAGATGTTAATATTCTGAATTTCTCAAACGAACTAACGTTAAAACATTAACTATTATGATAAGTCATCAAAAATTTTAAAATACAAACGGTGAAAATTGTTTGTAGTTGTAAAGCTATTACTCATTTGGTTTACTCCATTTGAAGCTACAAATACAGTAGAAAATAATGGAGAAATATCTCAAATGTTGAAATAATAACTAGCTTATATCTACTTGTCTTAAATTATAAAAGTAAATCGCTAACTTGAAAGTTTGGTATAGGTTGAACTGGGTTTAAAGGGTGATTTCTTATTTTAGTTTTATTTGTTTAGTTTTATAAATCATTTTTGTTGTGTTATGATAACAATTTCAGAAAAAAAAATTTCTATATCTATCAATACATTTTGTGTAGACTTCTGATTGTTTGGGTTATAAACTTAATGGAATTGAAATCTAAAGATTTTGATGTGGTAAAATGTGCTAATTAAAAAGTTGGATTTAGTTGTACATTAAAATTATTTTACTTTTTAATCTTCATTCAGATAATATTTCTCCAGGAGGAATATTTTCATAATACAGAAACATAAGGCAGACAAATACGAGACAACATGACACCAGTAATTGTAAATTAACAGAATTTTCAGAAACACTAAAGAAATCAATTGCTTCATTTAATTAAGAAGTTATACATGTATAAGCAATTTACAGAAGTAATATAAGCATTAACAGTACCTCTGTTTATAGTAAAACGTAAGCTAAATGTTTGAGATGAAGTTTAATATAACAAACAAGACAAACAACTGTTCTAGTAAATCCTAGCACTACCTTGATATGAAATATTCTCATATTAATTAACACATATATCATACAATCTAAAAAGGGCGTTGCGTTTTACGTGAATAGAGCGCTTTATATTCATTAAACTGAATATTTAATACTAAATATTTAAACTGACAAAACATAATTGGTGAGTTCTGTCCAAAATGTCACTTGATTGATATGTGCTGTTCGGTATATCAAACAAATCACAATTTTATCACAACTTTAAATGTTCTTAAAAAAAGGGGGGAGGAAACCCTGGCATACACGGGATTTAAATTGCCAACCTTGATTTTAATTTTATTTTATGCATAATACTAACACACACACACACATATATATATTACTTTTTAATAATTCATACATTTTATTGATGCCAGTACTTATTTCTCTATAGAAATATTCTATGAAATATTTTGCAAGTACTATGATAGCTAAGTAAACAAAATTTAGATAAACCTCTAAGACTGATAATTCTATTGTTAGTTGAGAAAACAAAACTTATGAAAAATTCTAAATGACAAAAACCTCGTTCCTAGTTTGAAACAGTTCATGAATTAGGTTATGAAGAAATACGACAAGCTCTTACCGTCTTCAGCTATACTTGGTCGGCCCATAAGCGCAAGATTCGCCCAGAGATATAGCACGCTCACTAGACTGAAGAGGATCATTTTTCTTAGACTAGTTTCTTTCATAGTTCACCAATTAACTCGTTTAAAACGTACAGGTCAGAGTTTTGAACCGTTATCTTAGCCTTACAGTTCCTTCTGTCCTATTGAAATATAGTTAACGAAAGAGATTTTATTACAGAATGAGTATATCTGAAAACTCGAACTAACATTCATCAAAACTGGGTAAATAAGCTTTGGGTTAATTTCATTTGTCACTATAATTAACATTATTTTAAATAATCACTGGAAATGTTCCTCTTTTTTTATTGTTGGACAACAGTTGCATGTAGAGAAAGATGTGGTAGAAAGGAAACGACGTGACAACCCCGACTACAATCTCAAAGAAAACTATACAACTCTAAAGTCGACTGCCTCTGAGACAGGCGGTGTAGGTCACGTGATAGTATGACGTTGCTTACGGGAGTGAACAATGTGTGATTAGGAATATACGGAGTAAAGGTAACAAAAGCCTATATTCAATCACGAGTAATATGTAAAGCTTATAACAGAAATCCAAAACCTCGAACTGTATTTTTTTTCATCATTCTGTTTTTATGTTATAGTAAGGATCACGTTATGGTGACGTTGAAAACTTGCAGATTTAGAAGAGTAAGTCAGTTACTATAAAATTATTTCTTCGTGTTTAGTGGCGTTTCTAGGATTTTATTATTTGGGGGCAGAAAGGGGACAAAGACTTAGTTTGGGGCTTGTGCATCAGAACGGTTATTATTAAGTACAAAAGAAATAGGAGGTTTTGCCTTTAAAAGGTGTGTATTTATTCTTTTTAATTCTCAAAAAAGTAGAAATGATTTTCTTTGCACAGTTTTGTGACGGTCTAATGCTGTTTCAAACTACCATTAAGCCTACCTGTAGATCTCGTTTGATTGGACATACTTCTTTCACTTCAAGTTACGTAGTATATGACTACCCCGCCCGTCCAAAAACGGTATAACATTTTCATTTCAGTAGAAGTCATAATACAGAGATAATTTTAAAATATTAAAACACTAAATCCTAATACATCAAATGGGTGCAGTGCTCTCTAATGGGGGTCTGTGCCCCACACTACTCCGTGGATACATCTTAGCTCGTGTTATAATATTAAGTTAAAAACATGTTATATTAATAAAGTACAGAACTTGTTTAGGTGAGAATTTCACACCAACTTGTAAATTAGTATAAAAAATTCTCTGTGATCGTTAAAATGGCATAAAATTTCCGTTTTTTGAACAAGCGCCTTGCAGCACAATGATTGGCATACCGGATGGTGAAAATGAGGTTCGCGTCTCGTTACCGTCCAATAAAATCGCGATTCGCACTTTGATATTTTCTTTCAATATTTTTTTTTCTGTGAATACTCGACACTTCCTCCTATAATTTTTAATTAGACTAAATCCGTTGCTGCAAAATACACACTGCTGCTCCACATTTGGGGCCACGGATGTGCTATGAAAGTGATTTTATCCAAAACATTTTGTAAAAGTAAATCAGATTTCTAATCAGAAGTTCTTGTTTATAGTCTGATAATCTTGTTTCAGGAAAACTTTCTCTTCAATAGAATTTAATAAATAATAACAGTTTCAGGACACATTTTTAACATTAAATTACATCAATACGTATTATTTCCTAAGCCATGTTCGTAGAAATCAAAAGTCTAGGAGAAACGTAGGCATTGGATCAGCATGTATATAATATTGGTAACATTCTTTCTAACAAAGAAAGAATTATCCAATTTCACAGAGAGTCAGGCTTAATCTATAATGTTCTACTCCAGATAAAGGATAAGTATATAATAGGAGTTAAGTACGATGTCCTACAAAGGATTATGTAAAATATCGTAGCAGATTATTTCCCTCCAAAAAATTCTAGAAATGACATGTTGAAAATGAAAAGTTTATGTATGATGCTCTTCCAGACTCAGTAGCATAATTAACTCTGGTTCTCATTACAGTCCCCCGGTGAGAGCGCGGTGACTTTACAACACTAAAATACGGAGTTTGATTCACCACGGTGAAAACAGCAGATAGTACAATGTGGCTCTGCTCTAAAACACACAAATAAACAAATAAATTATCATTACAACAACAATAAATTTAACTCGTGCCTTGATGCTGATTTGATACAGTTAAACTTTACCATTCAAACGTAAATAAGAAACTGCTAGTCAACCTTTTATAAAAATGATTCCCGGTTGCATGAATTATATGCTAAATGAATATATATACATCATATAAATTAGACACAGACCAAGTGTAAATAATTAATCATAGGACTAAAAGTATTTCATTAAAAGAAAAATTATCCGTCTCCAGTGATAAGAAAAGTTTAAGTTAACCTATCAATTCAAATTAGTTTATGGACTTTAAAACGGTTAATTGTGTTGAATTCTTTGCTTCACTCAGAGCCAAAGCTCTGAGATACTTATACCGCCCACCGCGAAAAGTAATTGTTGAGCATTTCATTCATGCTAAGAGCTGCTTAACAATATCATACGATAAATCTACATTTTTATTCTTTAAGTTACGTCACATTTTGAAATGCGAATGATAGTGTGATTAATTCTTAGTAATTTAGTGTAGAATATCCTGCTTGTGAAATAACATTACGCATCAACATTATTCATGCCTGTTCTCCCGTCATTTCAAAAGTGAATGTTGAGCTTTGTCTGCGTGCGCAGCTTTTCAAACTGAAGATAGGCGAACGCTCTGACAGACATCACAGTTCGAAATATATATTAAATTGTTTTCTTGTTTCTCTGATATTTTCACGACAAGTAGTTAGCGTTATATTATGTTTATTTTCCAGTCTCTGATGATCTTTATTTACACAAGTTTAAAACTAGCTCTTCGAGATATACAACAAAAAGTATGTAAATACTCAATGAATTTTCTTCTCCTTAAAACTTTTTTACATGTAACTCAGTAAAATGTTCACTTGGAAATACACCCCCACACTATCAACATTACTAGTTACATTAACTTTTAAAGGCTTCTTTAATACTTTATATCAAATATTTTTAAAAGAACTTGTATTATTTCATGAGATTTATTGACGTTTCATTTTGTCCAATTTCTGAGAAGAAAACAGAGCGAAAGTAAATTTATCTCTGTTTAAAACCACTCTTGTGAGTTAGATTTTTCTGGATAATTCTACCCCTTCATCAGTAACGTTGGACAAGAACAAACAAATTACTGAAAGCAGTTCATTTAGTTGAAATTGATGGTGTTTTAATGTCATTTAGATGTTAAAAACATCTAGAACGCAGTTATCATGAGGTTAAGTATTTGTAATTTGAACTTAGGAATAGTATGTTAACTTTACTTTATAATATTAAGTCGTCAAAAAATTAATGTCGCTTTTTTAGATGAAAAAAACCGAACAACTTATACATCAAAACAAAACTTTTATTAAATGAAATAGTCTCCATTCTTATCGATGATGCCCTTCCGTCTTACAATCAGGTTGTTAATGTCCTGATTAAAGAAATCACTTGGCTAATGAAGCAAAAAAAAAAAAAAGAACATGTCGATGTCCTCTTTAACACCTCCACATTTGCATAAGTTTCTCATTAATATGGTGTTCCAGCAAACGAAAAAGATGGTAATCTGTTGGTGCCATATCTGGAGAATATGGTGGGTGGGGGAGAACTTCTCAACCAAAATACATAATCTTGTGTTACATCAAACGTGCCACATGCGGACGTGCATTGTCGTGGAGAAGAAGAACACCTTTCAGATTGACGAGTGAAGGGCGTTTCTGATGAAGGACTTGATTTAAACGTTCCAGTTGCTGACTATAGATCTCTGCATTGGCAGTTCGCTGTGGATTGAGGAATTCGAAATGAAC